CCGGCGCCGCCCCTGGCGCGCTTCGCGCGCCAGGGAGGGGGCTCCGGCGCAGATCCCAGAAATCCGCGCGGAGCGCCAAAAGTTTATGTTCATGGCGTTTGTCTTTTCTTAATGTGTTTACGTTATTCTTTTTTTGTTCTTCTGAGCAAGATTTGGTTTGATCTCGTTCGATATCTGCTCCGAGAGTGGGCTCGGGCTTCAGGCAGCTTGCGCGCTCGTTGCTTCGAGCCCAGCACCGCGCGGTGGCAGGCGGGCACTCCTCGCGGGCGAGGGTGCGGGTCGTCTCTGGCGCGGAGGTGGCGCACGCGGGCGACTCGGTGACCGATGGTCTGGCGGCGAGCGGCACCAAGAGGGGGCGCGCTGCTCGGGAGGCTCGGATGATGGGCTTCTTTTCCACTACCGCCACCACCATAAATGGGAGGGGGAGGGGGTCCTCCTCCTCCTCCTCCTCCTCCTCCTCCTCCTCCTCCTCCTCCTCCTCCTCCTCCTGGTCCCGGGGCCGTAAAACGCGGCCACCCATGGAGTGGGTGGTGGGTAGGGTTGGCGCTGAGCACGGCTCGCGCCCCCTACCCCGACCAGGGAGCGCGGAGCACGGTCTCCCAGCGCTCCCTGGTCGCGCTTAGGTCGCGCCACGGGGGCATGGCCCCGACGGTGGCGCGGCCTGCGCCGTTTTTGGTGCATCTCGCTGGCACTCGCCACGCCAGCGGAGTCATGTGGCTGTTCATGGGTCGACCATAAAAAATAAAAAAAAATCCTCCTCCTCCTCCTCCTCCTCCTCTCCTCCTCTCCGTCCTCCTCCTCCTTCCCGCCTCCAATGTATGGCGGTGGTGGTGGTGGCAAACAGGTCCATCATCGGAAGTCCCGTGGCCTTGCAAGAGGCTTTCGAAGCCGTCCCCGAAGCCAGAGACCTCATCAGAAGGCGGGAGGGCCTCTGAGAAACCCCGCCGCCTTTCGGAGAAGGCCTCCCCCCTCCGCTCGCCGCTAATTGACGTTTCCACCGATGGCCTGGCGGCGAGAGGCACCAAGCGGAATGTCATGGCTTCACGGGCGCGCTGGAATCTGGTGTCAGTGGAGTGTGAGGCGGGAATTCAGGTCTGCGTGTTCGCTTGGTCACGAAAGTGGGGGACGTTTCCTCGACTGCTGCGTGCTGACTCAGAGGGTGAGGTTTCGGCCGGCGTCGGGGACAGCTTCTCGGGCGTCCAGCAAACCGAACGCGCTGTACACGGCAGGTTCGTGTCGTGTCGACTCGGTGGCGTCACCCGGACCAGCACTCAAGGTGGAATGCTGCCGGTGGCCCAGAGTTGGTTGATGTCTGGTGGTCTTGCGCTGTCGGAACGAACGCCGCGCTCGTTCAAGGTTGAACGATCCACGCAGTGTCAGCAACCATCGCTGGAGTGGTCGCGACACTCACCTGCAGCATGTGGACAGGCCATCCTGGTCAGTCGAGCATTGGTCGTGGACAAGGTGCGCGCAGCCTCGGGGGAACAGGACTAGGAAGGAGGAGCTGGACGACAGCGGCGCCAGCTTCGTGACCTCTCCAAGCCTGACCCCTATGGAATGGTACGACTAATAGTATTTGTAGTCTAAGTCGTAAGGGCGCTTTTGCTCAGATGATCACCGACGGGGCGTTCGTCTGCGCAACGGGGTGGGGGGCGCGCTGGTGGCGGGGCGCTGGCGCGCTGGTGGCGTGTTGTTTCGTCGCCTCGCGGTTGTGGAAGCTCTTCGATCTGGGCGCCGTGCTCGCTTCCACATATGAGACTGGTGGCAGCGCATGGGATCGTGGGACTGGCGAGCGCGACCCAATGCTACTGCTGGCGAGAACGGTCGCGACAGTGGCTTATTTTTCTGCAAATTGTCCGGTCCAAGCGTTTGAGTCAGGAAGAGCAGCGCTGACGGCGATTCGGGTTCCGAGGTGGGTAGCATCGCGGGGACATCGGTGGCCGATCCAGACGGGGAAACCGACACGAGACTTGCTTTGAGGCGCCGAGGAGGAAATTTGGTTTCACAGAGCGACCTTGTGGCCCCGCTGGCCTTGGAGGTGGACGAGTTCTTGGGCACGAGCGGTTGGCGGAGGCTTCGTGTGGATCTTCGTCAGCGGGCTTGTCACCAAGCCACCGGCCACGGGAGACGATCTATACGCCAGGTTGCTCGTCGTTGAAAGAGACGTTGGGCCTTCTGATCTTGGAGCCCTAACGATATAGAAGGAGGCGCTCCTCTGCACGCTCAAGGGCTACCCTGGCGTTCCTGGTGGACGCGCGGGCTGGGTCGAAGTAAGGTCGCCCCCTGCAAACTTGCCAGCCTTTACATGCATTGGCGGTCGGCCCAGTGCGAGGCAAATGATTTGTTGAGGGGTACCGAGCGTAACAGGTGCAGTGTCGCGGGCGAGGTCGTGACTCTCGCGGCCGTCCTCGATTATTTGAGGGCCAGCGGAGACTGCGACCAAACGATTAACTCGCGGACGGCCGAACGTACCCGTCCACGCTTACGTATTTCGGCAGTCGTTGCGTACCCAGACGTCGAGACGGAGAAAAAATGGGTGCACCCCGAGCAGCCTAACGGCGGCAATCGAAAGCAGCGTAACGGTGGCAATCACTACAGCAGAGCGCAGTTTGGGTTTACGACGGCAAGCACTTGCAGGTCAACGTTGGGGCCCAGGCCACCATGGAGGCCGCCGGTGCAGAGGTAGCGGGGGGAGCGGAGATGCTGGAGGAGAGGGCCACAACCACCAAGCATTTGACGGCGGCTGGTGACAGGTTCAGCTCGAGCGAACAGGTTGCGGCCGAGGGTGTCTCTTCGGCCTGTGGCCACGCCAGCGCCAGGTGCGCCAGTCCGTGTAGTTTTCCGTGTCTTGAAGGTTCGAGGTTCGAGGTTCAGGCCTCGGAGGGCAGACGGCGATCGCCGCTGGGCGGCGCCAGGGCGTCCACACATTTTCGTTGCAAGAATTTTCACAGTGGTCGGTAGTGTCTGCGTGGCTCTGGCTCCTGTCTGGGGACTCGCCTCGCATGTGTTTTCTTAGTTGTTGTTGTCCCCTACTTCAGGTCTCTTGTTTTTTGTCGCGGGCCTGGTCAGCCCTCTTCTTGCTTCCTCCCCCTTCATTCGTCGCTCCTCTCTACTTGGTTGTGTCACTTCATCTAATCGTGCAGCCGCTTGGCCGCTCCTTTTTCGAGGGCGTGCAGGTTTGCGCGGTGGT